CATGTATACTAATAACATGCAAAACATGTAAAGCTAAAAAATTGCTGGTTAGTACAAACATACTTTTGTCCACCAGGTCAAAATGTTTGATCGCTCCTGATCTTTAGAAATTAAAAAAAGTAGACTGTCACATATGTCATGGATGGCACATAGCTAAAAAAAAACAGCAGTAACCGCCAAAAACAGCAGCAACAGTCTTGATTTGTTTCTGCACTTGTCAATTTTTATAGATAAACCACATAAGAATGTCTATTTCAGATTACGTATAGAGCTCATATCCTATATGTTTCTTGTTTCCTTTTTTCTCTGAGGTGTACGTATGTCATTTGTGTGGGTGTATGTGCCAAAAACAATATTTTTTTATTTTTAAATGGCCATTTCTTAGCCTTTTTATGCCGTAGAATGAAACAGGCTGTTTTTGTTCCTGTGTCTTTAAGACAGATATATGTAAATAAGCACTATTCTGATTGTCCTGTATTGTGCCTCATTAAAAAAGTAGTTTAGGATGAAACAGTAAAAACTTCAGTGTGAATGGGAAGGGCTACATTTCTGTAGGCTCATCGTAAAAAGTGGCTCCTCAGATCTACTTAAAAAATGACTTCATGTGGTAAATTAACTAGTTTTATTCAACCTAAATAAATACTTTGAGTGAACGATTCTTTCAATCAGTGTAGTTTTTTTAAGTTGAATAAAACTAGTTCAATTGCTTGTTACCACATGAAGTAATTTTTTTATGTAGATCTGACAAGTAACTTTTTACAGTGTTGAATAGGCAGATTGGCTTGGCTTTTGTTAGCTTCATTAGCTTTGTACCTCCAATGCAAAACTAAAGCTGTAAGTTTCAGACAACAAACATACACTATATTGCCAAAAGTATTCGCTCGTGTGCCTTCACAGCATATGAACTTGAGTGACATCCCATTCTTAATCCATAGGGTTTAATATGATGTCGGCCCACCCTTTGCAGCTATAACAGCTTCAACTCTTCTGGGAAGGCTTTGCACAAGGTTTAGGAGTGTGTTTATGGGAATTTTTGACCATTCTTCCAGAAGTGCATTTGTGAGGTCAGACACCGATGTTGGACGAGAAGGCCTGGCTCACAGTCTCCGCTCTAATTCATCCTAAAGGTGTCCTATCGGGTTGAGGTCAGGATTCTGTGCAGGCCAGTCAAGTTCTTCCACACCAAACTTGCTCATCCATGTCTTTATGGACCTTGCTTTGTGCACTGGTGCGCAGTCATGTTGGAACAGGAAGGGGCCGTCCCCAAACTGTTCCCACAAAGTTGGGAGCATGAAATTGTCCAAAATCTCTTGGTCTGCTGAAGCATTAAGAGTTCCTTTCACTGGAAGGGGCCGAGCCTAACTCCTGAAAAACAACCCCAAACCATAATCCCCCCTCCACCAAACTTTACACTTGGCATGATACAGTTAGACAAATACCGTTCTCCTGGCAACTGCCAAACCCAGACTCGTCCATCGGATTGCCAGACGGAGAAGCGTGGTTCGTCACTCCAGAGAACACGTCTCCACTGCTCTAGAGTCCAGTGGCGGAGCTTTACACCACTGCATTTGACGCTTTGCATTGCATTTGGTGATGTAAGGCTTGGATGCAGCTGCTCGGCCATGGAAACCCATTCAATGAAGCTCTCTACGCTGTTCTTGAGCTAATCTGAAGGCCACATGAAGTTTGGAGGTCTGTAGTGATTGACTCTGCAGAAAGTTGCTGACCTCTGCGCACTATGCGCCTCAGCATCCGCTGACCCTGCTCTGTCATTTTACGTGGCCGACCACTTCGTGGGTGAGTTGCTGTTGTTCCCAATCGCTTCCACTTTGTTATAATACCACTGACAGTTGACTGTGGAATATTTAGTAGCGAGGAAATTTCATGACTGGACTTGTTGCACAGGTGGCATCCTATCACGGTACCACGCTGGAATTCACTGAGCTCCTGAGAGCGACCCATTCTTTCACAAATGTTTGTAGAAGCAGTCTGCATGCCTAGGTGCTTGGTTTTATACACCTGTGGACATGGAAGTGATTGGAACACCTGAATTCAATGATTTGGATGGGTGAGTGAATACTTTTGGCAATATAGTGTATCTTGGCTAATCAACTGTTTGGGGTTACGGGGAAAGTGTGCCAATTTTTTTTAGGCAAACTAACTTTTAAGAGAATGACATGATCTCCTCATGTTTCCTCCAAACACAGAGAGAGGAAAACCTCTTTTTCCATCCATACTGCACAAGGTTTCTCCATTTCAAAGACACGTCATGCCAGATAGTGTTTGAGGTTTTGCGTGAAAGTGTAATATATTAAAGCATGCACATGACTATATGTCCCTTTTTACATGCACACCCACAGATATTCGAAACTATACTCAAATGAACTACTGTAAAGACAATAGTGTGCCACATTAATTCAGGAGCCAAAATCTGAAGGAAGCGATGCCTAATTATCTGCTCGAACAAAGACACTGATGAACATTTGCTTATATAAGCCGATATGCCACATTATATGAGTCAAGACCCCCAACAGACTTCATGATAGAAGCAGTTCTATTATTAGCATGCCATAATGATGTGTTCCGCAGTCTTCCCCTTTGTCTTTTTCTTTTATGTTGGTTCCCTTTCGCTGTCAGGGAGAAATGACAGCTCACACTATGCCTGTAAGGAGGAACCAATATTATGTGCTCGCTCGTTTGAGTTCAGGTGCATCCTCAGCTCCACCAGCCCAGCCTATATGACAACAGTGCAATCGGAAATGAGGGCAAACTTCAAACGCCTCTTCATGGGATTAATACACAAGGCTTGCATGTCAAGCCATGAGCCGAATAATCAAGCAAATGCATGCAGCTTAAGGAGCTGGAGTGGTGGAGCAGTAAGGCAAAAGCTGTCAGCAGTCATCTGCCTCTATTTAACACAGCTGTAAAGTGACTAGCTAATGGCAGGGTGGCAAACCACAGTATGAGTCTATGTGTGTGCAAGCTGAGTTAGAGTGAAGCAAAGATAGCATTGCTAAATTGATGCAGAGAAGACATGCTAGACACAGCAAGAAAGAGAGAGAGACCAGCGTAATCAGAAAGATGGGCCCCAGGTTGTTCTTCAGTTTTCCAGAATTGTGTTACTATAGTGGTTCTCACATTTTTTCAGTCTTTAAAAGTCTAGAGTTAATTTTGTTTTGCTAATTAATTTTGTATATTTAATTACATTTATTGCGTAGTTCCATATGATTCATCTGTAACGCTTTACTGGAACCTTGCTACATAAAATTGACATAACCATGCCATAAACATGCCATGGCATGTCATGTCACATGCTGTCATGACAGATTATGTCCAGTAATGTAACAATGTATAACAATGATATGTTAACATTACAAGCAGTTCTCATAATAGAAGTCATAATATTTGTTGTCATTACAGGTAACTAGAATAGATTAGGCAACAGTGATACCATATGCTTTCATGACATCAAACCTTTTAATACCAATTACTGGTAATGATAACATGATGCTGTTATAATGTAATGGAATAACATTCAACATATATTCTGTATTCACAGGTTTGAACTTGCACTTCTGTCTTTTTTCCACCTGTTTCAGTGTCAAGAAATGACAAAAACACGGCAAAGACGTGTTTTACCACAAAATAAGCCTGTATACATAATAACTTTTCATCAAGTTCAAATTATTAATTGCAAATTACACTGGGCTTTTGTTATTGTTAGTAATATTTGTAACTTCTAAGGGTTAAGAAAGCTGTAACTGCAACCCCACCTTCACCACTGTAAGGTGGGCTTCATGACCTCTCAACTCTCCCTGACACGCTACAGCAACCTTCTTCACATTTCTCCACACTCTGCCACATTCTCACACGCAACGCATGGAGGAACAACAACAACTTTGGCTGTAAACAGTTTTAAAATGTGTAGTAACGCTTACAATCATCCAACAACTCAGTCATTCCAAAAATAATCATGTAATGCTGATAAACATAAAAGGTAGAGAAATTAGCTGCTAGGTTAGCTGTTTTGGCTATGTTCTTCTGCCCACTTCCATCAGTTAGAGGCATTTTTTATTACAACAGTGAGTTTTATCATATAATGATAAGGTGATTTTATGGAAAAGCTATTTGAAAAAAGTATGTTATCAAAAATATATGTCTACATACTTTTTCTTTCCCAGACATGCAGCTGTGTGATCATACCAGCTTCAGCCTGGGTCATAACAGAGACAGTCCACAACTTTTACAGAACTGATCAAAGTTGACACCTTTCACTTTCATCTGAGGTCACTGCCCAGCTTAGCTCTATGCAGCTATCTAGACTGCCCTTTATGATCAGTGCACTCCACTTCTCCAAGTTTTGAACCACATGTGGAAACAGAATGGAAACAAATGTCAGCATTCCTCAAAGACACCCCACACAGTCTGTTTCAAATCTGCGATTGTGCACTAAGAATCAGCCAGGCGAGTAGGGGGGGGGGGAATAAAAGGCTATTATGTCACGCCGTGGGCAGGACCCTAGCAAACTGAGTTTGGAATTACAGCCCTGAGCACCCAGTCTAAAATGAATCAGGATCCCTCCGCATTGTCCTAATACGATTTGGAGAAAAAGGCACCCTAAGCGACAGGAAAAACTGTGGAATCAATGCTCTCTGAACCAGAGTGAGAGGTACAGGCAGAAGGGCAATTTAGGATAGAACTGGATAGCCTTTTATTATAGTGCGAACAATGACTTATGATTTATTAATTTATAGACTAATTTTTAGTCTTATGACTTATGACTTACTAGTTTATAGACTAATTTTTAAAGAATACATTAGCAAAAATATCCCTAGATAAGCCAAAAAGATCAATTCACCCAAGTTAAGAAAGGCTGTTTCAGTTGTTGCTAATATCAATAATTTATACAATCAGTATAAAGTTGTGGAACTCATTACACAGTGAAAGAGCAAGGTCAGATCAATTAGGGGTCAGTCTGAATGGGCCGTTAGCTTACTCACCGCCGACAAACTGGATCCCCCCTGCCACACGTCCAATGGCACGAGAGATGAGCTCGGATACGCAGCAGCCCATGAGCGCTGTGAGCGCCACCAGCAGCAGCAGGCCACATCCCGTTCCCGTCACCACTGTACACACACGCCACTCCACGCTCGGGATGCCCTGGAAGGTGGCGTAGCGGCCGCACTGCTCCAGCATGACAGTGGCCTGCCTCTGCTCATCCCGTACGGGGTAGGAGCAGCGCCGGAAAGTGCCGAAGGACACCGGCTTGCCCATCTGTGACCCCAGCAGCCAGTAGGGCATGAAGAAGCCCACACAGGACGCTGCAGCACTGAGGAGAGACACCAGGGCCCAGAGTATCCCAGCACAGGTTAAACTGGAAGCCATGGTGAGTGAAGTGGGATCTGATATAATAGGGAATTCCCAAAAGACTTATAGACAAAAACTTGTATTCCTTTTCCTTTTTCTTTGGAGGATGAAGATGACGTCTATCTCCACACAGTTCTCACCATGGTCCTCCTTTCAATGCCTCCTGTTCCCTTTGAGCAGACACAAGGGAAAAAAGGCAGTTAATATAATAAAAGTTATCTTGCCTAGATTATTTATGCCTTAAAAAAAGGCTTTTGACAGGTTACAGCTTGTACAAAATGTGACTAACTTGTACCACTGAAAGGTCTTGCTTGTGCATCACTTTGCTTGCTGCGTCTGGAATTTACTTATTATGTTTTTAGGCCTTTTATTAGTTGATAAAGCTATTATTGCTTTGGCACCCTCATACATTGCAGAGTGCTGACAGACTCTGTTCCAAAAGGGATCTTAAGGTCATCAGATGCTTTTATGCTGGATAATCCTCCAGTAAAACATAAGAGAGTGGTGAAGCAGCCTTTTGCTGTTATGCTCCGAAGAGCTGGAGTTCTCCGCCTACTCAGACACGACAGGCACTTTCTGCTGACACTTTTAAAAGTTTACATATTCACTTAAATTCAATTTGTTTATGCTTGTCTGATTTTTTCGTGAAGCACTTCGAGCTGCCTTTCGATGCATGAAAGCTGCTGTACAAATAAATGTACTATTATTCAAACCTCAGCGCACGACTCTTTCATAATATATTCATACATGCAACATTCTTTATATATGCAAATTAGACTGCCTACGTAAGCGCTCCACACGCGAGCGCTGAAGCTACAGAAGTCTTAAACATCTGCGCCTCGTGCATAAGACACGGCATCTTATAGACAAAACGGAGACTGAGAACAAATTATGGGTGTCCGATTTATGAAATGTCCTCAGAGACCCACTGTCCGATGCTCGGAGCGGGAATATAAGCAGCCCTGCCTTCAGTCCAGTGTGAAGAAACAGCGACAACAAATATTCAGAACTCACAGCAGAAAGAGACTGAGATGGTAACTTACATAATAAAGGGCGCCGTTTGAAGTCTCAGGTAAAAGTCAGCAAAGCCATGTCAGTGTACAAATCCAAAGTTTCCCTCTGATGAGTCCCTCTGTGTTCGCTTCAGGACGGGCGCCCCGAAGACGGACAAGTCCCCCAGAACGGCTTCAGTCCAGAATGAGAGCGTCCTCTGCTTTAACATAAGCACATGAGGCTGGAGCACATCAGGCTCTCTCTCTCTCTGTTTCTCTCTCTCTGTTTCTGTTTCTCTCTCTCTCTCTCTCTCTCTCTCTCTCTCTCTCTCTCTCTCTCTCTCTCTCAGCTGTATGCTGTGCTCCTCTCCACACTCAGTGAAGGAGTGGAAGCTGAAGGGAGCAGGAGGGAGGTTCTCAGTCTGCTGGGCCATCGCTCGCACACATCTCCGCCCAAAGGGGGCTGGGCTAGTTTCCCAGACTCACACACAGTGCTTTTTCCCATATAGTTTCAGGAAGTGTGGTCATACATTTATCTATCATGTGTGCCCCATGTGTGTTTGTTACACACACACACACACACATACACACACATACACGCACATATATATATATATATATATATATATATATATATATACATATACATACACACACATACACACAAATGTATGGAAAAAAAATAATGCGTGGCCACGCCTCATTAACGCGTGGAAACGAGCAAGGACCCAGTAAGGCATGGAAATGGGATAATTAAGTAGTGGCCACGACTTAGTAATGCATGGGAACCATTCCCATGCCTTACTAAGTTGTGGCCACCACTTAATTATCTTGTAAGATAGATAGATAGATAGATAGATAGATAATATTATATGTATCACGTAATTGTAAGTATCAATTTGTAATAATAAAGTGTCCCATATGTGTCACATACATATAAGCACCTATATGTAATGAAAATCTGTTCCATATGTATTATATACATAGGTATCTATATAATAATAATAATAATAATAATAATGATAATGATAATGTGTCCCCTATGCATATATATGCATATATATATATAACATTTAATTAAAAATTCTAGGCCTAATCCTAAACCTAACCCTATCTTTGATCTTACTAACCAAAAAGAAACATTTTTACCTTTTCAGTTTTAAACAGTGAAACAGAAAAGCTTCTGTGAAATGCTCTTTAATGCTGTCACTGTCAAGAAGTAAATCATACATGCTCACACAGTTGAGTTTGTGCAAGGTAATAAGATGAGTGTAATAATGACGTGTCTAATATGTTATTATGTATGTGGAAGTACCTTTATGTGTGACAACAGATTTCTTCTTTTTATTATGCCAGGTATGTTACACATATGAGGAATGTGTGTTGGAGAATACACTCATGTAAGACATGTGACAGCCTAACAGACCAGACAAATACACAGTATTATTAACAAATATTCTGCAGAAATAAGACATACTGACTAAGGGGAAATTAAATAACATAACATTAAACAGCCCATGTCCTTCGTTTATCTTGTATTTTAATTTTTTCACTTGTAACATTTGTGCAGGGTCCTACAAGACATACAATCCAATGTTCTTTACAATATATTCGATGATAACTGCTAACGTTGGTGTAATAATCTTTGTGCAAGTACCAGTATCTCCTTCTAGTTGCACATCACACTCCACCTCCTAGCAGAATATTTTCCTCATGACCAGTTGCTTAGTAAACTAGTTAGTCATGCAGGCTTTGGCAGGGCTTGCGGTCAGCACTGCTGAGCGAGATGAGGAGCAGGAGCGCAGTGTGTTGCTGCAAGATGGAGACCGAATGAGGGGAAATGCTGTGCAATGCAGTGATTATGACATCACACATTATGGCTTTACGTGAATTTATGAGCATTTGAGAGTTTGTTGATAAGTGTAAGCTCACTTGCCTGACTCTCAACTGACCAGGCAGGGCTGCTACTCTGAGAATCAGTGTGTGTGTTCAGCTCATGCACAGTGATAAAGTTACTTTAAAAATGCATTTTTATTCTGCTAAAATATTTACTTTTATATATACTTGAGTATGCTTAAATTTCAATGATTTTTGACTTTAACTTATATATCATCATCAAGCACAAGTATCTCCTTTGTTTTGTCTTTTGCATTGCATAACAAATTCATGATGAATGGACCACAAGAAATGCTCCAATGCAGAATAAATAAATCCTAAGATTAATACTTGCATATTAAGTCTGTAGGTGTTAGATTATCAACATCAACAAAAAATAATATTAAAAAAAAATCTGAAAAATGTTCTAAAAATGTAACATCCGAAAAAGTAATGACAAATGGCATGCACATCATTGATGTTTGATAATGGAGCATGTTTTTTATATGGTTCTATGTACAGCATTTTTGAAAATGGTTCTACATAGCACCGAAAAGTGTTTGGCTATTGTTACGATATCAAGCTTATAATACTAGAAGAACCCTTTTTGGTGCTATATAGAACCATTTCTCCATCAATCTGAAGAACCATCTCACCATACAAAGAACCATTTAAGCATAAAATGGTTCTATATAGAACTCATGGTTCTGTATAGAACCATTGCCTTTACTAAAGAACCCTTGAAAAGCCATCCTTTTTCACCCCTTAAAATACCAGGCTTGTTACATTCTAAAGCTTATTATTCAGTAGCTACAGTGACTTCAACGCAAACTGGCTGAGCTATTCTTAGCTTATAGAAGTGTATAATAAAACTTTGGGCCTGCTGGTGGGCCCTGGCTGTTTAAGGAGTTAAGTGTGTAAGGGTTACATGCGGGAGCATTTGCGTCTGTGCATGTGCATGTCAGGATAAAAGCAAAAACAAGCCAGTAAAAACAAATAAAAAGGAAATCATTTCAAACGATTGAAAGACAAACTCTGTTTTCATTTTTATAATCGCCTTATCCCTGACCTTCCCTAACCTCACTTTTTATGACTTTGCATGGGCCATCTGCCATGTCAGAACTGCTGCTGGCATCTACAAATGCACTGAAGTTCGGTATGGGATATGAATTCCTAATCTGAGATCAGCTGCGTGCTGCACAGTGATCAAAGTATACCATTCAGAACTTGGTGATGGCCCTAAATCAGTACAAAAGCAATGAACAACAGGCCAGAGAGAGGGCAGGCAATCTGCTACTGGACTAGTGAGAGGCCAGAGAAGCTCTGTTTGTCAAGAGCAGTAGATAAAGTATGGGGGCTCACGGCGGGGCACAGGAGTTTACAGAAAGGACGCACTGCTGTGAATTATTCAGAGGTGCCTCACAGAGCTATATCCTTCTGTGTTCCCTTTACTTTGTATGTAACCTCTATCCAAGATACACTTGTGGACCTACTACTGGAATTTCATTGCCTTTTATTTCGCTGTAATGCAATAACAGGAATGAGCAACATTATTCAGTGTCAAAGGTATTTTTCTTTTCACTCATGCAAGGTCAGGTTTACAGCTACAGGCAGGGTTGAGTTTAAGGTCAATTTAATCAAACTGAGCCAGAAAATCTTCTGCAATGACAAAGAAACAAATTCACGAAGATATTTTGACAAGTCATTCAAACACTTCAAACTACTAAAAAAGGCATCAGTGGAAATACTATATTAGGTTAGAACACATGCTTTATATTTTTCTGATTTAATGTATGGAGTACTGTAACTGCAGTGCATTTTATATTTGTATAAGTTCTGCAATGTGTGAATTAGTGAATTTGGAATGCACTTTTATGAACTTATGAAATAGTATGACCAGCCCTCTGCTCAGCCCTTACAGAAAAGTTACCTATATTTCACATGTGTAGTGTGCAAAAAAAATGTGTTTACGAGTGAACACGTGGATAAGGTGCTATCACATGTGACATTAAATGACACATTCAATCACATTTTTACATGTGAAAATGTTTTTACATGTAATTACTCTTTTTGTGTGTACACATTTTGTTTTGTGATCGTGTTTTTTTCATGTGGTATAGTTCTTTTATACATATGTGTGTATAAATTTCACATGTGCTTATTCACATATAAACTTCATGTGTTTTTTCTGTAAGTGAGAGGTTTTTGGGTGTTTATTACAGAATGAAATGAAAGAAATCAAAGAATTTTAGTCCGTTTTCTATCTTACTTTCACTGTAGAACTTCTTTTGAAGTTTAAGACCAAATTTATCTTGTTATAATGTAAGAGTTTTGATTGAGAGTGTTATGAAAATAATTTGTTGCATAGTGCAAAAATAAAAATAATTTTTATTATTTAGCCTGTGCTTTAAGACCTACATGACCTACTCAAAGGGACAGGTTCCTAGACATGAGTTAAGCATAGTCTTAAACTATAATGTAACATCAATGTTAATATACAACCGAAAAGCTTTTTTTCAGTCTAGGCTTCAGCTTGAAGGTCAGATCTAGAGAAGTTTTAGAGTGAATCTCAAATGGCTCCTTACTCCATATCCACTGCAATCTCCTAGCTGTAGAGTTGTACAGTTATGGCTGAACATAAACGGCTTTATCTTCGACATATAATGCACTTTTTGACCGTAGAAGCCATTGTTTCTTGACTTATGTTGGAGACTACATAGGGAAAAGGGGGCCATTTGAGATTCAGCCTTAGTTTGCTTTCCACCATCGTTTCCCCTTCAGCTTTTCTTTCAAGACTAAATTTGTCTTATCTTCCATTAACATTTTGCTTTATAACATTATGAAAATATTGCATATAAAGAAAATTATCAGGAGTGTAATCATTTGTTGCTTTAATTTTAGACCGCTGCTCTCAGGCCGGAACGGATTTGGAGCAGCGGTGTGTTGCAGTAGGACCGCATTACAGCGTTGCCTTGTGGGTGACGTGGTTTGTTTATAATGGCGGACACAAAAGCAGAAAGTTCAGTTGACAGTTCAGCTCTGATCCCGAACAGCGGCAATGTCTCCTCTCAGACAAACAACCCTCTGGCCAGGAAGCTTAATAAGATTTTGGAAACCCGGCTGGATAATGACAAAGTGAGTGAGAGTCTCATTTACAGCGTACTCTTTTACAGCTCATTCAGAAGTGCTCAGCTTGCTAACGTTAGCCTAGAAGCTACTTACAGCTAGAAATATTACTATTAATATTTTTCGCCATGTCGTTAAGGCAAGATTGCAATGCCCAGGTTCAGGCATGCGATCTAATTCATAATTAGACAAATAACTATTTAAAATATAAGTAAACTAACTCACGTTATCTCTGTGTGTAGTTAGCAGGTGTCTAACACCTGACTATGGATAAATCTCAAATGGCTCCTTACTCCCTATGTAACCTAGCTAAGTTAGTGTACTATGTAAGTCATGAGCTAATGACTTCCACACCCATACAATATGCATTATATGTCTAATCGAAAGTCCTTTATGTTCAGCACCAATACCTATCTATCATTTAGTTCACTATGTAGGTGTAGAATTTTGTGATGATTGGACCAACAGAAATGATCCAAAATTACTTGGAAAAATAATTTCTCCATGAACTTCCATTAAAAGTCGAGAATGTTTTTCCTTATCCTCTAAAGTTACCTTTTTGGAGATACAGGGTTTTGTTCTGACAGCAGCTTTGTGTAGTCTCCACACCTCTTGTCAGGTGGATAGGAAAAGGGTATCCAACTGTCATTCACACCTTTATATAAATATTTAATTAGAGACTGTGTAATAAATTTAGTCACCCCTGAACTTAAATGTGAAGTGTGCTGAAATTACTACTGGAAGAACAGACACAATATCTTAAGCTTCACAACTGTTAGTTGTTCAATAAATGTGTTTTAGCGATATGCTTCCTTCACTAAAATGGACTCCTTATAGAGGATGTGCTGTTCCTTTAACTTTAGTCATGGTCCCGTCAGAAAGAGCTACTTAGGGTTATTAGACTGAAGGATGTGTGTTTGGTTTTCATTTTCATCTAGAGAGAGAGAGAAACTGGATACACAACAGTTTAGACACCTGTATGTTGTCAGCGATGAATCACTTCCTGCCTCGTAATAAAGAACCCAGTCTAATAATGAAAATAATGATTGTAGCTCGTGCTACACAGTATTGCTGATCATTAAAATGTCTCCTCTTGGATAGATAATAAACTGCCATAGTTTCAGTTTTCATTCTGCATCATTGTGTGTGTGTGGGCTAGCCTTTTAAAAACATGGATGAGCACCAACTAAAATTAAATTTGAAGTAAACCAAGATTATGCTAATTGGTATAGGTGGTATTGATGGGGCTCTGCCGATAACCTTGATTTTATTTATGATTGAACTTGCAGCTTTAATGTTGATATCTGCTCTACTGTTATTTTTTTTTACTCCCTAGCAGCATAGAATACCTTCAGTTATCACTTTGTATGTCATATGCTGAAGCATTTTTACATGCAGTTTCTTCCAGATAGACTACTATAATGATCTATTATTTCATCTCCCTAATAATAAGCTTCAGTATACACAAAATACAGAAGTCAAGGTTCTAACACTAATGCACGCAAAGCATGTCACATTATCGCTGGTTGCATGCCATGTACTGAGAGTAGGTAGACTTCTTAAAGTTCCAAGATTTAGCTTGGCCCGCCTGGGTGGTTGATAATTTCAAGGCACCATGTGAATTAAACTGATGATGATCAGAAGTCATTCTGAATATAGTGCTTGCATGCCTTATTTATAAAACACAGTGAAAGTATTTTAGTATTACTGAAAACTGTGACAGTAATGGAATTTCTTTAAAGGGTTTTTCACACAGCAGCAATTTTAATCATTGGCTAATAGTGACCAACCTCTTGGAAAATGTTTGCCGGTGCTGTTGCCGTATTGGTGATAGAGGCTGTTTACACTATCTCTGTTTACTCTGTATCTCTGTTCTTCTAGGAGATGCTGGAAGCTCTGAAGTCCCTCTCAGTTTTCTTCACTGAGAACAGTCTACGGACACGGAGGAATCTGAGGGGCGACATCGAGAAGCGCAGTCTGGCCATCAATGAAGAATTTGTGCGGATATTCAAAGACGTGAAAGAGGTTAAGTTAATGTGAATTCTCTGATTGCTGGGGCAATATGAAGGCAATACAATAGGCCATGTACAAGCCCTCATTTGTTTTTTATTTGGTGCACCTAGGACCTGGAGAGTATACATGAAGATGTCCAAGCCATGAGCTCTTGTTGTGAAGAAATGACCAGTAGGTTAAAGGTGTGTTTTTCTTTTGGCTCTTTCAATCTAATCATATTTTGTGACTTATAGGACAGTTTTCTGAGCTCCAAATTGAGCCTATGCTTGTATTAAATAAGATACGTTTAATCTATTTCTGAGAAACTGACCCATAAAGTTAAAACCAAGCGTGTGCCTGAGATATGCAGCCATCTTAGTATTGGCTCCATCCTTGGGATTTTGCAGGTTAGGCTTGATCCAAGAGAGCGTAATTACTGTCTCTCTCCCTGAATGGGTATGGGGGTCCTGTCTCTCCAGTATTTGGTATGATGCTAGCCAACATGGGCGTTTGTTAGCTAAAGTAACAGAATTGGCAGTTAGCATTCTTCTCAAAGCGCACTAACTGACATTGTGCTAATGGCAGCTTGAAAAGACACAGTGGTGCTTCATGTGTCTTTGAGGAAGACATGCTTGCCTTCACCCTTACAGATTAGTAGCTTTGTGTGATGGGGGAGACCTAGCTATGAAATTGGCCATGATTAAATCGGGCAGAAAACCTAATTTAAATAAAAAAGTTAACACCAATAAAATTGATCACAGTGGTGTGTTGTTTGCAATTGCATTTTCTTTTATGGCTTTGTTTATCGTAAGTCCTCTTTGTTTTAATAGGCAGCTAAAGAACAAACCCAGGACCTGATTCTGAAAACCAACAAACTACAAGGAGAAAAGTGAGTTTAATTAAATGTTAAGTATTGTTACAGTGTTGAGTTATTAAAGCATGACTTGCTTGCTCTACAAAGATGTTTTATTTTAAATTAAGTGATGTGGTATTCGCAACATGCTCCCTGAAACCCTAGCTTGATATGGAAATAACCATTAGGTATTTTCAGTTTAGTCTGGCATTGATCAAACAGTGAACCAGTCAGTGATTTTATGAGCTGCAGCAGCTCTTTAGATAGTGGCAATATTTGGAACTAATAAATGGGAATTTCTAAAACTGAAGAAGAAACTATGAAACAAAGAAAGAAACTAAACTGTGACAGAACTATTGATTAGAAACTATGACACAAACTATTAGCCAGACTCAACCTGAAACAAGTGAGTATAAATAAGGATTACGTCTCATCATCCTTCACCGCATAAATAGCATTTTTATAGGGAATGTGTGAATTATCATTGCTAAAGATATACTATACTGTTTTAGAAAACTAGATATAACCCTACTACTTGATAAGCTGTAAAGTAAAAGTTGTTTCAAAGTCATACCCAAGGATCTAATTGTAGGACCTAGAAGTCAGTGCACTGAAGAAACATTCTGAAGCTAATTACCTTGTTTATTTTGTATACATCACGTTGTTTGCTAGTAGAATTGGAAACACTTTATGAATGATTTAGGATGAAATTAGAAAGTTGATTCAAAGTCTTTAAGCCTATTAAAAGCAAAGAGTCAATGCAAATATGCCATGAAGTTGATGTGCATAAATGGGTCTAACTTCAGACACTTATCCTCTGTGTGCTGGCACACAGAGTTTTGGATGTTTGTAAGTAAGAAAACAAACAAGCAAATCTTAAAGATATATGGATGAGTAAAGTTGGATTACAGTCCTTTCATTTACAAGCCTATTGTTCCCCTGTCTTAGCTCAGAGGCTTTTTGTTTATTGCAAAGAGATTTACTGACTCAAATTCTCTCATCATTCACTGTTAAATGTTCATTAAGTTAAGAAATATTCTAATGTGGCCTGATTGCCAGACACTTCGTCAGTCCTTTTTACTTCATATGTGCTTTATAAATCGTCTTTCATTTGTTTTAGCTACCGTTTCCGCTTCAAAACATTATAATGTTGTGTAAGGTTTTAAAGTTCATATAAGTTAAAAATGTCAAACTCACATGGATTTAAGTGACCTAAAAGCAGAGCTGGGTAGTACCTAGTCCCCTTTATTCAGTTACATGTAGTCTGATGCATTTGCAACCGATAATACCTTTACTTCTACTGTATTTATGAGGAAAGCACTCTACATTTTACTTGGTTCCATTTCCCTCATTAATGTTTATAACTCTCATAGCTTAGTTTATAACTAAGTTATGTTGACATCATCTGGATTGCTTTGCAATTGTAAAGAGGTATAGCTTTTTATTTTAGACTAAAAGGCTCCCAAAAAGTTCCACTGCTGTTCTTTAAGTTACTCAGTAATTTTGGACTTTCTACTCAGTTGAAATGTACTTTAATTTGAATTATTATATCATTATATTATATATATAATACTTTTACTTGGGTATGAGTTTAGAAAACTCTACCACCTCTGCCTACTTTTAAACAAATTAGTGCAGATGTTCACATTCTATGCCAGTGGTCTCTAACTCTGGTCCTAGAGATCTACATTCCCATGGAGTGTGGTTCTAATCACTGCCACACCTGCTCCAGCTAAATAACTTCAGAACTTCAGAAGTTCTTGATTGCCTGGATCACGTTAGTGTTAGGTAAGGGGGCCAGCATATTAGTACAACAGACAGTTTTGGTCAGGATTTACTTGAGAATTTGTTTTAAAAACTACATTAATAATTAATGAAAAAAACAAGGCTGGGAAGAATGATAGTGACTATTTTCATTAATGTTTACATTACATTTGTGGTTTAAAAAATGAATCAGTAATGCTGAGGAAGCTTGTAGGAACTGTTTTATAGGTGTGGTTCATGCTGTGGGGCTGGCTAGAGGACAGAATGGCGGAGGCAAGGCTGAGCTTTCTGCTTTTTTAATCACAAAGGCAGCAGCCAGGGAGGTGTATTTTGGCACATATGAGTGTGCGAGACAGTCTAAGCCTATAAAATTGTCAGAGAAGTGCAAAATATTCACTAACGTGCCACAGGTGACGTACAGCACTTTATTACCATCCGCTTAGCATTTAACAGCATTACAACACAAGGCAGTGCTGCAAATATGCAGCCAAAATGGCAAGAGGCTGCAAATACGCTACAATGGAGAAGTAAACAATGTCTGGGGAAATAAAACTAACTCAAATACACAGCTTACAAGGAGTGCACATGCCTTAGCACCTACTGCATTCATGCACACAACAGCACACAATAAACTAAGAAATAAACTCTGCTGTCATTAGTTTCTCTATAATGCACATAAGGTGCCAGAGTAAAACGCCTTCATCTCTAACACAGACATTCAAACAAGTAATAATTCTTATTACGCATTATCAATGTAATTATCGGAAAGAGCTTTTTCTATTTGCTCAAGAGTGCAAACCTTAGACACTTTAAGCTGAATTGCTGTTTTAGCTGAACTGCATATCTGTACATTTCACAAATAGTAATCACTTTGATGCTTGCATGTTCTATTTTTGTTGTTGGTAGAAATACAGAGCAGTGAAACTCTCTTGAGGATAATTTCAGAGTTTTCTATTTCTAGAATGTAACATCAAGTGCTATTTGATACTGCTTTCGTCCTATTTTAGTCAAGCATTCTGTCATATCCTTTGTCAGCCTTTGGTCTGCTCCAATCTTGTATTTGTTCATGTGAGGAATATGAATGAGCGTCCATAGATTCATAGATTAGTAAGAAATGCGTGTTTTGATGAGCTCTAATGAATGATTCATAAGCCAGCACTAGAAGTTTCATTCCCGTCTTACTTCAGTGCAGAATGGGTAATTAATACTGTCATATCTCCTGTTTGCTGCTCATTTTGAATTCGACTGATTATAGTCTCCAGAAGATAACAAAGACAATGTAGACACAACAGCATTTCCCCTCGGACAGCGGAGAAAGGAAATGGGTCTTTGTGGCAGGGGATCTGTGTTCTGTTGCGACATAAGCGGTTGAATGGCAAGCTATTAGAAGTACTCCTCTGGGGCCTGAGGACATGAGGACAGAGCACAGAAGCAGCGGGTGATGAATTGATGTCCTCAGCCAGGGCATTTCCATCACCTTTTGCCACCCACAGATCAGCTTTATGGTCCTCGCTGGTGTCGCACTGTTGTTTATGACCATTGAGAGACTGCCAATAAAACTCATTTGGGTGGAATTGATTGGAGAGTGGGGGCTGTTGAGGAGGCGACAAGAACGCTCAGCAGAGTGTCACGCCTCATGATCCACTGTCACGCCAGAGTGAAAAAGAGAGAGAAAGAAAGATGGATTGAGTAAGAGAGAGAAATAGTGGTCTATGCAGAGAAGTAGTGACTGCCAGAAAGTTGGGCAGACTGAAATAGGCAGTCTGATTAAGTGATTAAACCAGGCCGAAAGTGATGGAGATGAGCTGAGCACTGTGGGTTTGCTGTCTCTCTGACCCTGTGCAACCACTTCTCCCTCTGGCCTGAGCTGTGTCTGACAGCTGTGATGGTCAGCTGGTGACGCCATGCTCTGGTGCCCCGGCCTTAGACCTTGAGAATGATCCACCAAGGGCTGGGAGGCACCAGAGACATGATGTGTGGTGCTTGTAGTGTTGGAACAAGTGGTGAATTCACAGGCTGTGGAATTTAGCCAGGGATAGCATGCATTTGTTTTAAACTCTTTACGCTTATTTCTCCTAGGTCCCCTCTGGCATATACGCCTTGAAAAGCCTCTACATTTTTGTTTAATTATTTCGTACTTGTAGCTACGGATTTTAAACTTTGAGACTATTTTATTGATTTTTTTTTCTGTTACCATTTTATCATGTTAGACATTGAGGTAAAGGTAATTTTACTAATTTTTCAAACTTTATAATTTGATTGTTAAGAAGTAAACAAAGTCATTCAGAGTGGATTGATGTGAAATGGTGCACTGTGTATTGACTTCAAAGTCTTTACAATGGTCTTGATAGGAGCCAGAGGTTGTAATGACTTTAATTTGAATACAGCCATTTTATTTACTATCCAAAATGAACCCACATGTGTCTTCAGAGTTTTCTTATGTAATGTCGATAATGGAAAAATATTAATATGTCTTTAAAAGTGCATTTTCTTTTGGGGCCTTTTTTGATTTACAATGCTACTCATATACTTCACCACCACACTGTCAGGGGGGAAAAAAGGTGTACAGTAAAGGTATAAACAGTGTAAATGTACTGTCAAAGGTACAACAATGGTCTTGAGGTACAACTGTATACTTAAATTGAGTTTTAAAGGTTCACTACATTCATTTTCTCAGAAGAAAGGTGCATATTTGTACCTTTTCATAACCTAACGTCTTAAAATAGAAAAATAAAGTAAAAGGCTGGTGTCTAGCATGTATGGAGTCATTCTAATTTAACATAAACATAATTGCAATAGATTGTTTCCTAACCAAAGATACTGACAGCCCCCTCTTTGACAGTTTGATATCTTTTTCCTATGAGAATGCATATGTTTTAGGCCAGAACTATCAAAAAACAATGTCTTAGAGGTTAGGCAACATATTCACAACCATTTTAGCCAAGTCAGATCAGTCAGATTACATGTTTTGTTGATTTTCTAACTGAAAAAATGTGCACATCCTCTACAGAGAACACATTTCTGTATGTTTTAATGTACCATTACTGTGACTGTTTGCTTAATTAAACATATTGTTTGTGCAGAAATGATGGTGTGTTTTAGATTTTATGTTTTATTTGCTTTCCAATATGTTAAACTCAGCAAGTATTTAGAAATTGTGCACTAAATTTTGCAGAAAAATGCCATATTCTACTTTGTTCCCTGTAGAGGATGTGTCATTTTCACTTCAACAAAACATGTAATTTGGGGAGTTGAAACTTTTGCTTGACTAT